GGGGGGGCAGGGTGAGGTGGGGGCTGCATTAGCGGGATGAGGCACAGGGGTGTGTGGGCGCATGGTCAGGAGGTCGTCTCTCCCTGGGGGTGAGGGAGGAGGCCGTCTCTCCCTGGGGTATGGGTGGGTGGAGGCCCGCTCTCCCCAGGAGCACGTCTACCTCTGCTCTTGGAAGTAGGGGTGCTGCAGTGCCTGGTGGGCAGTGATCCTCTCGTCGGGGTCGTAGGCCACCAGCGCACACAGGAGGGAGTGGCATTGAGGGGACAGGTTGCTTGTCAGGAGAGACAGTCCTGATCCCTTTTTAAAAGGAAAATCAAAACTCATAGCTCTCGACCTGCATTAAAAGCCCAATGACAATAAACAATCACACCACTATGTAGAGCATGTGACAGGTGCCCCCCACACCTCCACGGGGCCCTGAGCGAGGTGACAGCAGTCTACAAGGCGGGGCTGGATCCTACGGGTTACAGGCAAGACAGCAACGTTTCTAGAAAGGACTCCAGTCACATTTCCAGGTGAGAGGAGTGAAATAAAGCTTTGGGGGTTTTGTTTGTTTTTTTTTAAAATAAGATTCAGACAGAATTCTCCTTTTCCTTTTCACAAATCAGGTGACTGGTGTCCTACCCCAGGCCCTCAGCTTCACCCTGTCCCCAGGATCAGCTCCAGCCCCAGAGCTGAGGGGTGGAGCAGGGTGAGGTGGGGAATTTATGGGGTGGAGCTGGGTGAGGTGGGGGTGTGGAGGGCAAAGCACTGTGCAGGAACAGACCTGGCTCCTCCAGACCCCAAGACCCCAGCACGCTCCAAACACCCTGGCTCTGCAGACACCAGAGGGCCAGGCAGGAGTGAAGGAGGGTCCTGGGGGAGGTGGAGGTGGGCCTGGGATGCCCCCAGGGTGACCCGGGCTTCTCACTTACTGTTTGAACTTGGTAAGTGTCTTCTGAGCCGGCGTGCCAATGACATCATGGATCTTAGAGATCTGGTCCAGCTCGTTGACTCCAGGAAAGAGGGGCTCCAGACTGGAGGCAGAGGAGGGGCACTCAGTGGGCAGTCTGTTGACACAGCCACACCTGTGCCCATCTCTGCGGGTGCTGGACCGAGCCCATCAAGGGCTGACCGCCCTCATTTGCTCCCCCAAATCACCCCCTCTGCCCTCCCAGAGAAGTAGGTGCCCACCTCCGCTCTGCCTTTGTCTCCTCCTCCTGCACTTGTCTCAGGCCCTCAGCTGCTGTCACCTGCAGCTCCTGAGCCCCTGGGACAGCACTCCATGAGCTGCCTCTGCTTTGCAGCAGGACAGCGGCGCCTGGCATGCTGAGGTCTGTCCAAATGAGCTATTGTGTCCTTTGCTCCTGAGAGTTTCTGACATGCGTTCTCACCTGAGCCCCTTGGCTGCTGGCCACCAGCACACCAGAGTCCTCACCTGGGGACAGCCAGTCCTCAAGGCTAACAGGTGGGCCAGGACCCACGCGAAAACCCCACCCCGAGAGCAGAGTACAAGCCCGCGTGGCGGTGGGCGCGTTTTCAGGATTCCAATCAAGAGGCAGATCGCACGTTGTTTTCTAGCACGCTCACCGTGCAGCCAGGAACACACAGACTTGCCCTCTCAGTCAGGACTTTAAACGAGCAGACATTCCCTACAGCTGCAGCCGGCCGCTGCCCTATGGGTCATCAGCGCGTCGCAGAAGGGCGCTTGTCCATCATCAGCTTTATTTACTCCACTTCCATCCTAGGCGCCAAAGTGCCCCTGTCTGTGGCGAAGCCTCAAGAGGACACAGTCTCCTTCAGGGCTGGGGGGCTTCACGTTCCTCTGTCATACACACGTGGTGTTGGGGTCCCTGGCGGGACCAGTGGACGCAGGAGCCATGAAAGGCTTGCTGAGCTCAGCACCACAGTTTAACGTCCTTTCAGCAGCAGCGGCGGCGGACTGCTGCTCAATCTTGCCGTTGATGCACAAGGCTTTATCCACCGCGCCTCCAGGGCTCCGCCTCGGACTGTGGTGTGCACCCCCACAACTGGCCACGCGGCGTCTCAGAAAGGCAGTGATGGCGGCAGCTGTGCGCTCAGGCCGAGCTCATGGATGTCATGTCCACAAGAACGCCTGTCAGGACCCGGCAATCGTCACTCTCAGCGGCCATCTAAATGCCAGTCCCTGTGCCCAAGACCTGCACCCACACCAGCTGAGGCGCCTGCACCCACCCCGGGGTCTCACACGCCCTGCACCCACACCAGCTGAGGCGCCTGCACCCACCCCGGGGTCTCACACGCCCTGCACCCACACCAGCTGAGGCGCCTGCACCCACCCCGGGGTCTCACACGCCCTGCACCCACACCAGCTGAGGCGCCTGCACCCACCCCGGGGTCTCACACGCCCTGCACCCACACCAGCTTCGGGGGGGTCCTGCACGCACCCCAGGGTCTCACACGCCCTGCACCTTACACCAGCTTCGGGGGGTCCTGCAGCCACGTGACACCCACGGTGGGCCTCGCCCAGCTGGCCACACAGCCCCCCTGCGCATTCAAGTCTGTCACACGGAATCAACCTGAGGCAACATGAGGCAGGGTCAGCCACGATCCGATGACACCTCACAAAACCATGGATCGGCCACACAGGCCAAACCCAAACGCGCCACTACAGAGCCAACTCCATTCACCGCAGATCTCCGCTGGCTTCCAAAACGTACGCATTTAGGGAAAGAGACTGCCCATCTTCATTCCTGGGGGCGGCAGTTACGTGGCCACGGGCTGTCCGGGGGGAAGTGACTCAGAGCTGACCCTCCAGCGGCTTCTGAGAGGCTGTAACCAGCACGAGGCCACCACCCAGCTCCACGCAGACGTCCCCGAGCTGGCGCCTCGCTCCCTGCGGGCCTCGGGGTGGCTGCGGGCGGAGCCTCGCCGCTCAGTGTAGGGTCCAGCGGGACAGAGGCCGCAAAGGCATGAAGATGGGGGCCAGGGCCAAAGACACCCTCACTCTCTCAGAGAGGCCAGAAATGAGGATTTTCATGCCACCTTTCCTAACTCCAACAGCTGCTGGAAGAGAGGTCAGAAGTACAAGGCCCAGCACACCAGCAGCTGGACAAGCCCGAGGCCCCCTGCCGCCACCGGCCAACATGCTTATGGGAACTCGGCTCGGATCTGCCCAGCACGTCCTCTCCTCTCTGGGCTGTCCTCGAATGCCAGCAGGTGGTTTCATGTCTAATGAAGAATTTCTCTATCTGCAAACAGAATGAGACCACTTGAGAGTAAGGAAGCAGGAAGTCTGAAGGTGTCACTTTCTCCTTCTTCCTGGATTATAATTTGTTGTCAGATCTGATGCACAGTGACCCCTGAGCAGAACAGACACCACCAGGCCTTCCTCCGTTACCACGTGCCACTGTGCCAGCCTGTCCTGAGGGTCCTCTTCACTCTCACTCACCCTCCGTATGACAAGCGTGCTGTCGTCCAGGGGCTGGTCCATCCTGACAACCACACACAGGCAACATCCTCCATCCTGAGCAGCGTTCGAGCCGGACTCCCGCATCATGTGGAGGTTTTGTGGCCGTGCTCGGTACAGCCAACGTTCTTCACGAACGTCCTAACCCAAGGTGGGGGCTCTGATTTCCACTCTCCAGACGGCCTTGTGCTTGCGTGTTCCTGGTCCTGCTGCCCAGGGCACAGCACAGGCCTGGGGCCCCGTGCAGTGAGGCTCCACCTCCCTGGATCCAAGTGCAATGGGTGTTGATGGCAGATGGCACTCCGGGGGGTCCTGTGGGTGACGCCCTATGGGTCAGCACCACAGTCACGTCACCATCCATCTCAGGAAACCCAGGACACCGAAACCCAAGGGCTTCTGAGAAAACAGGACACCAGGACATGGCCCCAGGCGCTCCCGAGGCTCCGATATCCCCAGCCCCCTCCCCCTTCTCTTTACAGGAAAGAGATTAGGAAGCAGCATTCTTTTATCCCCTGCAGAGCAGCAGAAAATTCATTTTAAGTCCTATATTCACTCTCACAAAATTCCACTTCAACAAGTAATTTGAAGTTTAGTCTCCTGTGACATTACACAATTATGTCTTACTAATTTTTTTAGCAATCTATGTTCAATGTAATCCCAATCCAAATACCATATTCATTTTTCAAGGAGATGGAAAGGGGAATTGTTAAGTTTATTTGGAGAGGAAAGAGACCCCAAATAAGCAAAGCACTTCTGAAAAACAAAAATAAAGTGGGAGGCATAGCACTCTCTAACCTCAAAACCTACTATACAGCGCTAGTAACAAAAACAGCATGGTACTAATACAATGACAGACAAAAATCTTTTAGGATAATGCAGGTGGTCCTCTGTTTATGACAGGCCTCCATACCCAGGATTCTAAATTGGTTCTGACCTAAGCTGAATACCTTTTCTTTCTCTTATTATTACTGCCTTTTATTATCAGTATCTTTACAAATCTCATCCTTGTGTGTTGAAGTATATAAACTGATAGACGTTTCGTAACACTGTATGTTGTTCAAGGTCAACTGGCATAACAGGCCACACAGACAATGCTCTATGTCCTTCTGTGGTGAGTAGCAACTGAGAACTTAAAAACTTTGAGCAACTAAGGTGCCACTATTGGTCAGACCTGTCTGGAGCAAAGGGGGATGAAAACCAAAAATGTATTCAAACAGTGAGTGCAAAGCACAAGAGGACCACTCAAACCTCAACCTCCAAGACCCTGGGGCCAGACAAACTAGCTAGTGCCTGATGCCCGGGTGGCCTAGCAGGGAAGGCACCGCACTGCCAATCAAAGGCCAGGGCTTCCAGTCCAGCTGCTGAGAGATGGACAATCTCCTCTCAAGAATCCGCTGGATAGTCAGCTTAGTTCCAACTGGAGGGCAGTGCGTTTGAGGGAGACACTGACCCCCACTGGCTACTCTCAAAGAGACTGCAGTAGAACATCTTGCACAGACTGGGTGCACAGATGGGAAGAAAAACTAAAAAATACCGAAAACGTAACTTTACTCGCCCAAAAGCAGTAATGATAAGAGGTTAAAAAACAAAAACCACAGTTTTAAGTGCAGTATGGCGTAAGGGAGGGCTAAATGGGCCTGCAGAGACCCCAGCTTCACACAACGCCCACTGTGTCCCACGCAGGGCAGCCCCTCTAAGCACTCTGCTGACAGCACTTCTACCCACCTGAATGTTGGGGCCCATGGGGCACACCTGACAAAAACACATTCATCTTCATAGTTACACGTCCTGTGCGCTTTTTGCTTAGAAACAGTTGTGTTCAACCCAACTCAATACTATCCTGTGTGTGCTGGAGGAGACGATGTCGCACGTGGATCATAGCTGACCTGCCTCCCCGTGCTGGAGGAGATGATGCTCCCCGTGCTGGAGGACATGATTCCTCCCTGTGCTGGAGGAGTGATTCTCCCCGTGCCGGAGGAGATGATGCTCTCCGTGTTGGAGGAGATGGTTGTCCCCATGTTGGAGACAATGCCTCCTCGTGTTGGAGGAGATGATGCTCCCCGTGTTGGAGGAGACGATGCCTCCTCGTGTTGGAGGAGATGACGCTATATAAGGTTTCAATGGCTGATATTTTGGATACCAATCTCCAGACCTCTCTTTAGAGAACCTTCTCACCTTCTCACCTGACCAACCAGAACCGCTCCCTTTCAGTCAGCCCTTCTATTTCCACACGACCAACAAGCCCAAGGTGCCAAGAGGCATGAGTCAGGTCCCCAGCCTGTGCACAGCAGCATCTGTGCAGTGATACACGACCACGTGAACTGCCCTCAGTAGCCTTGTCCAGGGGCCACCTGCGGACCCAAGGGAGCTGTCAAGTTCAGGTGGGGTCTTGTTGCCATGCGAGTTCTGAGAAAGCCCTTTGATTTTTATATGGCATGTATGGATTTTGGAATTGTAGATAAAATATTTTAGGCTTGTACAAATGAATCCATTCATATCCCAGACCACAAACAGAACTTTGGTATTAATAACATGAAAACATCGACGTCTCATGACTGACATGATGAGTGTCTGGGAGAGCCCCTCTGACTGGGGAAGAACAGGGTGCAGAGCCCTGACACCTCAGCCCTGCTCACATCTCCCAGATCACAAAGTGAAGCAGGTGTAGGTGCCCAGGAGAGCCCCTCTAAGTGGGGAAGAGTGGGGTACAGAGCCCTGACCCCTCACCCTGCTCACACTTCCTGGATCAAGCACAGGGGGCAGTAGCTGTGGTGTCCAGGGCAGGCCCTCTGAGTGGGGAAGACAAAGCTGCAGAGCCCTGACCCCTCAGGCCTGCTCACACCTCCCAGGACAGGCCACAGGGGGCAGCTGCAGGCCTGTCCCCTCTGCTCCTAAACACATGGTGCCTGGTCACATCATGTACACCAGTGCCATGGCAGCAAAGCTGATTGGTGGTGCTTTTGTCCCCAAGCAAAGAAAATGTGAAGTGTGTGACAACAAAGTAAAAAGAAAGCCTAGTACAGTTCCTGTTAAATTTAAAACAGTGAGAAATCAGACTGTCTGAAAATCTGAGTGTGAGAACATACTGGTCTGCAGCCCCACAGCCTGGCTGGGCCTACCTGCTGACCCCTACTCTGCTCCTGGGTCAGATGAGGCTCCATCTGTACTGTGGGGTCACCCTGCCGTCTACACATGGGGTCAGAGGAGGCCCTGCCTGCACTGTGGGGTCACCCTGCTGTCTACCCATGGGTCCAGAGGAGGCCCTGCCTGCACTGTGGGGTCACCCTGCCCTCTGCTTGTGGGGGTCAGAGGAGGCCCTGCCTGCACTGTGGGGTCACCCTGCCCTCTGTCTCTGGGGTCAGAGGAGGCCCTGCCTGCACTGTGGGGTCACCCTGCCCCTCTGTCCCTGGGGTCAGAAGAGGCCCTGCCTGCACTGTGGGGTCACCCTGCCCTCTGCTTGTGGGGTCAAAGGAGTCCCTGCCTACACTGTGGGGTCACCCTGCCCTCTGTCCCTGGGGTCAGAGGAGGCCCGGCTTGCTATGGAGGTCACCCTGCAGTCACACAGGCCCCCTTTCTGCACCTCGGGCTCTCGAGGGCTGCCCTACCTGGCGATCTCATAGAAGACACAGCCAGCACTCCACAGGTCCATCTTGTAGCTGTAGAAGCCGTCAGTGAGCAGACACTCGGGGGCCCGGTACCAGCGCGTGGAGATGTACTCTGTGTACGGCTGCTTGGAGTACGCGCTGCGGCAGGACCCAAAGTCCCCCAGCTTCAGGATGTCCTGCTGCAGGGGCAGGGGCAGGGCCGGGACAACACACCACCATGAGGCCCTACAGCCACGCAGTCGAGGAAGGACTAGAGAGCTGAGTGCTCCTAGAAGCAGGCCACCGGAGCCCACCAGCACCTGGAGGGGGCCCAGCACCATGGGGGTGTTTCTGCCTGATGGCGCACATCTGCTGACACCTGCCTGACCTGCTTTAACACACACATCCAAAGGTCTATGGGTTTGGAACCCACATCTCTGGCGGCTTCGTGCTTGACCGCTAATCTAAACGCTGGCCATTTAAAACTCCCAGCAGCAACACTCTTGAAAGATGAGCCAGTCGGCTTCCGTAAAGACTGCTGTGCTGCTGCGTCCCATCCGGCTGGAACCAACTCACAGCCGACTCTCCAGCAGGTTTCCAGAAGCAGTTAATCGCACGGGAGGAGACTGTAATCTTCTGTAAGATTACAATCCGGGAAGCCCTGTTTGTCAGCTCTACTCTGTCTGTAAATCAGAATTACAGGCTATCAATGGGTTTTACTTTGTTTTTAAAACAGGCTTAGCCAATGTTTCAGCCTGACTGATTCTACAAATGAATGACCCACAAGGACATGACCTCTCTGCTGTCCCCTAAGCTGGGGGCCCTGCTCTGGACCTGGTGGGGCGGGGGATGTGGTGTGTGTCAGGGGCTCTCCTGACAGTAAGTCAGACACACAGAGGAAACAGGTTTCAGGTACTGCTTCTATTTCCTTTACCCCTGATGTTTCAAGGCAAACGAAAGAAGCAGAACTCATTAAAATACCTGACTGTGATTCCAGGGAGCCCACACTCAACGGACAGGCACAGATATGCTAAGATGAGGGCTATCCAAGTCCATGTGAGTCTCAGAGGTTGTGTGCCGGCGTTGGGCGTGCCTGTGACCCTGCAGGGCAGAGGACAGATGCCCCGTGGGGTCTCTGGGCTGGAATATTTACAGAGGCAGATCAGGTCATCTTCCTAGGCAGTCGTAGGTCTGTTCATATTGGCAGCCTCTCAGTTAGCAATCGAGCGTTTACCCACTGCCACCACGCTCCTCATTCTCCAGCTAATCTGCCCTGATGTTCACCAGCTTCCCCCAGCACTAAACGCCTGGTGCTGGTTGAAGAGGCACAGTACACCTGATGTCACATTTCATCAGAACGACCTGGAAACCAGTAAATAGCTTCTTCATTTTCAGGTAAGGGCATCACTGTGACTAGGCTGGTCAATGCAGGTGCAGACATGACCTCTTTACCACTGGACCCCTCTCTGGCCGGGAACCTCCCAATTGTACCACATTTGGGTGATGGGAAACATCGGTAGTACCCCACATTCCCTCCACACCCCTCGGCTCCACTCCAGCTGAAAAAACACAGACTTCCACATCACCGTGGCCTCCATAAGAGGCACCAGGAAGCTCGATGCTTCCCAAACCCAAGAGCAAATTATATTCCTTCAGTTTTCTGCCCCAAGGGGTTGGAGGGGACATCTGGGCCAAGTCTCTAAAGGTTCAGTGGCACAGCTGAGAATCCAAAGGGCCAAACAGAGAAAGGAGAGGGTTGCATATTGAGAGACCAATGGTGCCACAGTGGCCAAGGGTCCAGCTGAGGACAGCGGGGAGAGGACTCCCAAAGACTTGGCAGCAACAGTACCCACACTGGGACCAGAAATGGTGTCCCCACAGCCAGGCTACAATACCATTATCCGCGGGGCAGTGAGCAGGGTGCCCAGGAGTGGTTAAAATCACTGATACGCTCAGTAACTAATGGCCAGAAGCTCAGTCTACCCAGAGGTACGGTGAAGAAAGGCCTGGTGAGCTTTGGAAAATTAGCCTTGGAACTCCATGGTGTACTGTTCCACTCAGGAGTCAGAGTCTGGACCGAGTGACCTGCCTCAGCCGCAAAGTAACCATCCCAAGACCAACTGCTGCTCTCATCTTACCTCAGTCAGAAAAAAAGGGCCCCAGAGAGCCAAGCGGCTTTCCAGTAAGCTAACTGCACCCCAACCCAAAGCTCAGAAATGGGAAACCACCACCAAGCAACAACACTCCTTGATTTCTTCCTGCGCACTTGACAGTGAAGGTGCTTTCTCGAGTGTGTTCATGCATCAGCATCAGGCATCATGTATCACATCCTGCATTTGAAATGTGCAGTATAAGTGGCTTCAGGGTGAGACAGACAAGGACTCAAATCCATTTCACATTCAGAGGACTCAGATCATCGGAATGGGTTTCCTAAAGTCACAGTTGTGAGAACAGTACCCGAGACTACGTTCTTCCAGGTAGACAGTTAGGAAGATAATCTACCTTTTCAAAACTGGAGAAAGCAAAATCATACAGTCTGAGTGACCAGCTACCAAGCAGGTCATCAAAAAAACTCTACTTCTTTTCATTTTGAGATCAAAAGAGAAAATTTCTTACCTTTATCAATATATTTTCTGGTTTTACATCTCTGTGAAATATTCCATTTCTGTAGCCAATATAAAAGGGAGAACAAAATTAACTGTACCTCACTGACTCAAATTCCTTCAGATCGCATTTTAAATGAAGGCCGATGAATTCTGTTCATCTGTGACTGCCCCAAACCCATGCGCGTACCTGTGCATGTGATCAAGGGATTTACACAACTGGTACATATAGTGCATCACTTTCTTTTCTGATAATGGATGTCTTCTCCCTGTGTGATAACAGGTAAACAGGTATGTACAGATTACAAGTGCTACATATTCCCTTTTGCAAACCAAAAATATATTTGTAGTTAGTACTCTGTGAAAAGACAATTTCCTCCATGAGAAATAATCAGAAATTGCTTCAGGAAATATGGAATACACCTATGAAATACACCCACCACTAATCTATCTGCCATCTGGACACGCATATTCCACTGTCATCAAGTTGATTCTGATTCATGGTGACACTAGAATAGAGCAGTGGGTAAGGAGTTGCACTGCCATTCCAAGGGCGGGAGGTTCGAATTCATCAGCTGTTGATGGGCGATCTTCTCCCACGTAATTCAGTTTCTGAAAACTTGCTAGGTGGTCGGCTCTGAGTTAACTATGACTTGACAGCACACAGCAGCACAACTACACGTCTATCATTTTGTTAGAACCACTTGCTCTTATTATTATGCCTTTGAGTTGTGGTGCTGGAGAAGAGTCTTGTATGGACTGCCAAGAAAACAATTAAGTCTGTCTTGGAGAGGGTGAAACCAAGTTTCTCCTGGGAGGCTAGGATTTTGAAGCTCCATCTCACATACTTTGGGCACGTGGCCAGGAGGGACCAGTCCTTGGAGAAGGACAAAACGCTCAGAAGGGTGGAGGGACAGCTCAGGGGAGGAAGACCCTGGATGAAATGGATTTATATAGTAACTGGGGTAATGGGGGTAGGTATGTTGGCATCAGTGAGACTGGCTCAGGACAGGGCAGGCTTCAGAGCTGTACATAGGGTCACTATGAGTCACAGGTGACTTGATGGCATATAACAACAATGCATTTTGAAATTGAAAAAATGTGAACCCTCTAGTTGTGTTTTTTTCTCAAGATTGCTTTGGCTATTTATTTACATCTCCACGGGTGCAGTCCACTGGGTGTTTCAGCGCCACCCAGCAGCGCACCTCTCTGGTGTTTCCAATCTACTGACAGGGTGGGAGGAGCAGTTTAAAGTGTCAAAAAGCCACTGGAGGGTCAACCATGAGTCAGCTCTAGCTCAACAGCAATGAGTGAGGTTTTTTGCTTTTGGAGCCCTCACTATTCCATATCAATTTTAAGATCAGCTTGTTAATATCCACAAGGAAGTCACTACGACACTCCTAGGGATTTGGTGAAGCTGTAGATCAATTTGTGGACAATTTAACATCTTAACAATACCAGGTCTTCTAATGTGATAACAGGGATGTTTCGCTATTTATTTGGGTCTTCTTTATTGCAATATTTTTTTAGCCATCATTGTATAAATTCTACATTTCTTTTGTTTACTGTATTCTGAGCATTTTATACTGTTGGATGCTAATTTTTGTTTTCAGGTTATTCACAAGTGTATAAAAAAAAACAACTGATGGTGACCAATTACCATTCCGGAGCACTCCGGTCAAAGAGTCTACAGAAGAACCCTGATCAAAAGAGCGAAATTATAAAACGGAATTCATTTCAAATGATCATGGACCCCAGACTTTTTGGAGCCAGGGGAGGCCAACTAAACCCCTACCACAACCCCCAGATAATCTTTATCTTGAATGAAAAATATCACCTAGTATCTTAAATTCAAACAGTTTACCTTAACTAGGAAAACTGTGTAGTGTAACTGAGCGTAATACTCCTCTAAGAAACATCTGGTTTTGTTTCTGCTCATAGCTGACCATCTGGTGAGTTTTCAGAGGCTGTAACTACACAGGAGAAGACCACTTACCTCGTCTTTCTCCGTGGAGCAGCTGGTGGATTAGAACAATGTGCATTTGGGTTGGCAGTGCAAGTCCTTACCATGAAGCCACCAGAGCTCCCTAGGAAAATATTTAGATGGGACAAAATGGACTTCAAACAACAACAACAACAAAACAACACCTGACTTCAGCAACTTGAAAGATTAGACAGAAACCTTAGGGGCTGTGACTTTATCATGCTAATGAGGGCGGTTGCTCATAATGGAGGGTGAGGACCATCGCATAACCAAGAGAATGTAATCAATGCCACTGAACTGCACATGGAAAAACTGTTTAATTGGTATATGTTTTGCTGGTGTAGTCTCAAAAACAACAAAACAAAAATTTTTAAAAAGAAATGTATTTGATATTTGTGTGTTGATCTCCTATCCTTCAACCCTGCTGAACATTTTAGTTTTAATAGTATTTCAGTATAATTGTTTAGGATTATCCATATACGTAATGCTCTGTCTTCCTTTCTAATATGGATACATTTATTATTTTCTTTAAAAAAATGTTCTAATTGCCCTTGTTACACCTCTAGAATAATACTGCACAGAAGTGGCAAAAGTGGGCACTCTTGTCTTGTTCCGGATCATAAAGGGAAAGCATCCACACTCACAACATTAGGGATGATAGGATTTTTTTCCCTTTAGATATAATTTTTTTAAAAAGATAGGAAAGTTTAAGAGTTTACCGAGGAGAATTTACTACGTATGAGAAACACTCTGAGAAGAGTGGGCCAATCTCAGGGGCAGAGAGAAGTGAGAAAGACCCCAGATGTCTCTGTACCACATTGAGAACACCTCCTTCTAGTTCTAGTTTCTTGAGTGTTATTATTATTAAAGGGTATTCATGATAAAAGGGATTTTTATCACAAGCTTTTTCTGCACCTAGAGTGATCATGTCATTTCTGGTTTTACTCTAATATGTATTATTTTCATTTCTTTCCAGGCATTAAACCAATCTTGTATTCTTGGCATAAGCCAAACGAACTGTTTCTCGCAACAAAAGCTTTAGGGCCTGATCCAGCTTTTGATCGGTTGCATCAAGGTCAACAGTACCTGTTAGTCCGTGACACTGGTTGGCCAGGAACAGAGAGGGCCAGGACAGCCAAAGAGCGTAATGGTTACGGGCCCAGGGTCAGACTTGAGTTTCTATTTTGACTTTGCCATTTATTACCAACCACGCTGCATTAATCTCCTACATTATCTTCTCATCTTTCTCCTGCAGAGCAGGTGGTGGATCTAAGTCACCTTTGGATTGGCAGTGCGACTCCTTACCCACTAGGCCACCACAGTCCCCTAATTGTTTTTCTTTGAGTTACATTATTACTTCATCCTCCAAATTTCAGTTTCCTCATCTACAAAATAGAGATGACAACAGTGCTGACAACAGAGGATTGTTAAGAGGCAGAAGACAGGTGGTTACGAATATAAATTCAAGACCCTGCTGAGTTCAAACTCATTTCTCCACTTACCAGGCACGTAACCTTATCCTTTGTGCCTTATTCCTTCTGAATGGGGAAAATAATGGTAACTACTCAACAGGGTTGTTGTAAGGATAAAATTAGTTAGCACTCGACTGTATCTTCTCCAAGATATACCTGTTTGTTCTTTTGTCAGTCCATGAGATATCTGGCCATCTTCTATAACACCACAGTGCAAAGGCATCAATTAATCTTCTCTCACCCTTATTCACTGTCCACCTCTCAGATGCACAGCAAGTGATTGAAAAGACCAAGGTCTGAATCAGATGCACCTTAGTCGTCAAACTGACATCACTGCTCCTCAATAATTTGGAGAGGTCCCTGACTGCAGGCTTTCCCTGTGCAGTATGTTTCCTATCTCCTGACCGCTGGCAGCAAATGTGCTGACTGTGGATCCAAGTAAGATGAAGTTGTTGACAGTTTCAATCTTTCCTCCATCTCTCATGATGTTACCTGTTGGTCCAATGGAAAGTTTTGCTTTCTTGACATTAACATGCTATTCAATAAACTGCAATCCTCTGTAAGTGGTTGTTGTTGTTGCTGTTATGTGTTGTTGAGTCGCCTGTGACTCATAGTGACCCTATGTACAACTGCTGTGAACTCTGCCCTATCCTAAGGCAGTCTCATTGACTCTGGCATACCTCATCCCAACACCCCAGTTACTACGTCAATCCATCTCATGCAAGGTCTTCCTCTGCTGCCCTGTCCCTCCAACATTCCAAGCATGATGACCTTCTCCAAGGACTAGTCCCTCCTCGCCACAAAGTATGTGCCCAAAGTATGTGAGAAGGAGCTTCAAAATACTTGCTTCCAAGGAAAAACTTCATTTCACTCTCTCAAATAGACAGATCTATTTGTTCTCCTGTCTGTTCATGGTACATTCAACACTCTTCTCCAGCACCACAACTCAAAGGCATCAATTCTCTGTCATTCTTAGTCACTGTCCAGATCAGGCACACCTTAGTCTCTAGACTGATGTCACTGCTCCTCAGCACTCTGGAGAGATCCCTGACAGCAGAGTTCCCCAGTGCAATTTGTCTTTTGATTTCCTCACGGCTAGTGCCAAGAGTGTTGATTGTGGAGCCAAACAAGCTGAAATGGTCAATAACCTCAATCTCTTTTTCATCCATCATGAAACTTCCTATTGGCTCAGTGGTGAGAATCTTTGTCTTTTTGATGATGAGTTTTAATCCATATTGAAGACTACATTCCTTGATTTTCTACAGCAAGTGCTTCAGGTCCTATTGTTTCAGCAAGCATAATGTGTCTTCTGCATAATGCACATTGTTGATGAGTCTTCTTCCAATCCTGATGGCATGCTCCTTCTCATACAGTCTAGCCTCTTAAATGATGTATATATATATATATACATACATACACACACACATAATATATACATACTGAAAATACATGGAGACAGAACGCATCCCTGATGCACTCCTTTTCTAATTCTGAACCATGCAGTGTTTCCATGCTCTGTTCTGATGACTGCCTCCTGGTCCAGGTCAAGGTTTCACATGAGCACATTCAAGTGTTCTGGGATTCCCATTCTCCTTAAGGTTAGCCACAATTGTTTTGATCTACACAGTCAAATGCCTTTGCGCAGTCAGTGAAACACTGATAGACATTCCTCTGGTACTCTTTGCTTTCAGCCAAGATCCTTCTGACATTGGCAATAATGTCTCTCATGCCACAGCCTCATCTAAATCCAACTGGTACTTCTGGTGGTTAGTTCTCTGTTAATGTCCTGTTCCAGTAATTTTTGGATAATCTT